GTAGACTCAATATTTTCTCCCCTTGTGTTCCCCTCCTCTTTTCCCTCTGGGGAGTTTTGGATTTAACTTGTCATCTGTCTCAGTCTAGACACCATCTGTCTGAAAGGAGAAAGCCTCATATTTTCATTTACTATTGACTTCATGGGTATATGCTCTAAGAACAAATCATCTGCACAGAGTTTCTAAAAAGGGATGCATCTATAACTAAATGGGTTCCCGTTGAAGCCCATATATCACCTTCTATTAGACCAGTGTGTAAAAACAGCTAATAAAATATATGTTTAAAACAATTCTTTAATTTTTCAACCTCCCTCAATCATTTCTCAGTGGATACTAGCTGCAGCATGATTTTATCTCATAAGATTTGCCATCTAGGGATATTGGATCATCAGCTGTTACCACTGTAACATTAGGGGGATGAAAGCCTCAGAAATCTTTGAGCATGTTTGTGTCATAATGAAAGTACTTTAAGCCAAGAACCACAAACCCAAATGGAAAGAAATAAGTTGTACAACTAAGTAATGTTTAAATGTCTTTGGTAAGTGTTGGTTGTCAGCAGCAGAGCAAGAAGTTTCCATAAGAAGTGAAGGATTAGGTTATTGCTAAGTGCTAAGATTAGATTGTCTTACTAAATGTAAGGTAAGGTCTGTGAATCCCAGTGTGTTGGGAAAAAAGCAACAAAAGGTGGGTTTTTATATACAGAGGTGGGTTTTTCTAGGAAGGGTTAACTAACATGGCCTGAACTAGTAACTAAGTGGCTTTAGGATTCCAGGATGCTCTCAGGGAGGCCAAAGAAAAAGAAAAACTGGAGGCACACTAGGGCTGCTCAGTGTGTAGAGGATGGAGGAAAACTCACCAATAAGGCAGACACTTTTTTAATTGTGTACCCCTTTTGGTATTTTGTCTTACCATAAGTACTGCTCTCAATCAAAAGTATTATCGATTTTCCAAAAGTGGGACATACAATAACTGATTATAAAATAGAAATATTTTACTAAAATATTTAACTTGAGCATTTAATAATTAAGCATTTTATTCTTTCCATCTCAAATAAAAAAAACAACATACATATCTTGCCTCAAAGTTAGTAAGGAATCAATATATATATATACAAAATAAAATCAATTTACGAAGCTATATTTATAAAACTGGAGCTCCTCTAAGTAACTCCCTCATAATAACATTAAAATCTGATGAATTGGGAACAAAAATGATAGTAAATATGACTTAAAGATTTATTAATGTCTCATGTAAGTTTAACTGGTTCAACTGTCAACTGTAGTGACCTGTATAAACTGTATTTTAATTTCCTTACTTTGAATAAAAAAGACTTATGATCTCAATGTGAGTGTGTTTGCTGTTTCTCTCTTTATTCTAGTGTTTGTCTACTGTACCTAGTAAGGTGAATATTTAGAATAATCATCTTTCCAACAATATCAAACATTAGTTTTATATATATATTTTTTTTTATACAAAATGACCAACAGTATTTATAGCACCCATGCATTTAGGAGTTCCCTCAGTTATGATTCAGAATCTTCTTGAAAGGTAAAAAAAAATAAAAGTCATTTTGATTTAGTTGAAGTTCCACAGTTGTTCAGGAAAGACTGCAATTTATTTTTTCTGACTCTGAAGCCACATATATTTTTGTATGCAAACAACCTGCAAGGTAAATTTGCATTAGCATGATTTAGGGATTATATCCAAGTGTTTAATGTTACAGGGGATCCTTTCAATACCTGTTTTGATTGGATAAGTAAAAAAAAAAAAAAAAAAATGCATTCATGTGATTGTTGATGTGGTCTTATAGGTAC